ATTATTTAATTTTCTTGTATTGGATTTGATTTTCCTGATTGCTTATGACTTGTTTTAAACATGCAATATGGTAATATAATACTCTATAATATGGTCATTGACATATATTAAATTGAGGAAAATTGAACAAGTAATAAAGATTTTATTTAATATTGATCTTGAATAAAATATTAAATCATATGGCCTTAACTAGTTTGAAATCAATATGTATTAGCATATTAAATTAGGCCTTAGCATGCTCTCCAGCATAGTTGAATTTGAAAGTAATTGGAAGTGTTTTGAAAATTTGTAATTATTAATTAATTTGCCCCGAGTGCACTATTCACTCTATTTAAATTCCGACTTGATATTCTTGATTTACATGCCATATAGCTTCACATATATTTGATTTAGAATATTCGGTTAGGTTTTGAAACCTTTTATTTAATTAAATTCTATGTTTAAAAATTTAATCCTCATGGTGATATACAACTTGGAATTGTATTGTGGCATGCTAGAAAATTAAGCTTAGGTATAGTTGTTCACATATATTAAATTAGGATTAATTGCATGAGAATTGCAACTTTTAATTTATATTTAACTTTAGTGAAAGTTTAATTCACATGGCCTTAAATTGAATGAAATAAACTTGTAATGTGATATTACATTAGTTCTTGGCATATTTTCCAACATATGTTAATTTGAGAGCATTCGGTTAAGTTTAAAAATCAAGAGATTTTAATTAAAAGAATTAATTAAAATCTATTATGTGGTCCCATTAGCTTAATTAAGGTTTTAACTTGATATTTGTATTGGCCATGACTTGTTTACTAGTATATATTAATTTGGGACTATTTGAAATTGTTTTAGAACCTTGGGATTTAAATTAACATGATTTAATTAAAGTTCTACCTTATTGTTGTATTGAAACTCATGAGCTTATGTTTTCAATATTGAATATATTGTTATCTTGCGTAATGATTTGCACACTTCATAATTAACATCATTCATGCATAGCGTGTAACGAATCGCACACTAAAGATTCGACATTCATCATATCATATTAGTTGTGGATTTAGAGTATGTATTGTATAGGTTTCCAAATTTGGTTGTGCTTAGTAGATAGTCGATTATCTTGCATATTCCAGTTGATATATGCGTTGTTGCATAACTTATTGATTTTGGAAACTTGGGGATGTCGTTGTTTGACTATGGCTAGGACGTGGTTCTAGTACGGGGGATAGTCCCTCTATATAGTCTAGTACGCACATAGGGAGGTTACCCATGGGCTAGTAACCCTAAAGTAACTATGTTGTCGGTCTGATCCGGCGTGACATCCGAGTATCCACTTTGTTTGATTTCGCATTTTATTTTCAAGTTGATAACTAGATGATGTTGTAACTTGTTGTTTCTTATTTGTCGTTCCATTTTAAGTTACATGATGTTAACTTTGCGAAATTGTGCTTTATGCGTTGTATTGGAAGTTCCAATGTTGGTTAAATTGTGTCGATATTAAAAATCGTGTTTTGACGTTCTAATAAAGCTTAGGATTGATCCTATTGATTCATTTATAACATAGACGCTAGGTGGCATGACCCACTTCTGTTGTTTTCGTGCTTTAGATTCCAAGCTGATAACTTTAAGAAATTGTATTTTGTTGCCTTGTATAATATGCTTTTATGTGGTTAGACTGCATTGAAGTTGTAATTTGCATTTTGATTGTTCAGCATGGCCTAGGATGATTCCTTAGACTTATTTAGAACATAGACGTTAGGTGACATGATCACTTTAATTGTTTCTGTATTCGAGTTTGCAAGTTAATACCTTTAAGAACCTATATCTTGTTGCTTTGTATAACGTGCTTCCATATTGTTTAAATGGCATAGATGAAGTGATTTATGCTAGAAACACTCTAAGGTAGTTTAGGATGCTCCCCGAGTCGCACTTGGACATAGACGTTAGGTGGCATGAGCCCCTTTAACATGTTTCACCTTAAGGTGATAAAATTGTAAAATGTTAGGTCGATGCATGCTCATTTCCTACGAGTAGCTTTATGTTACTCACCCACGTAGTGGGGACATTTTTCAGGTATGAAGACTTGGTTCGTGATGCTCATTACTCCTTGGATGGCTTATAGTTTTTAAGTTTCCATTTTATGCAAGTGTTAGCATAAAATGCCTATTTGCAATCTTTTGTATCAAAATATGTATTATTTGATTCCATATATGTAGCGTGTACATGAGTACACTCTTTACAATGTATTTGATATGTATGAGATGAGGCCGGAGGCCAATGACCATTATATTGTATTCTATGTACTTTTTAACTTCTTGAAATATTGTGAAAATCTTGAAAAATCGCAAGTCATTGCTTCACCATGGTTGCATCGGGTGTGGGAATTCTATTCTCATTCTTTCATAGGGTCTCATTAATCTTGTATGAAGTGTGGCCAAGGGCCAAACGGTCAATTGATTCCATTTTGTATTTTTGGATTCCATGTTTTCCATTCCAAGTCCATTTTTGCCTTTTTGCCCGTTTGGGGGTCGGATTTTGCATCGGCTATGTTTTTAAGCCATGGAACATCGTAGCACGTCTAAATAAGTAAGTTACGTTTGCGTGCATAGTCGTTTCCGGGCAAAAGCTCATCGTTTGTGTTTTGAGCCTCCAACGGACTCATTTTGCGTTTTTGTTGCATATTCTGATCTAGAGTTATTCTAGTCTTTTAAATTCAGTTTTATTTCCTTCTTTCAATATGGTTGAATAGAAAACATGATTTTAGAGGAGGTTTCTTTTTCGTGTTCTTCCAGAAAATGCCATCTTGGCATCGGAAATCGCATCCGAAGTTCAGTTCTCAGTTTTTAAATTTAGCAGCTTTTTGGACCCACTAGACCAGTTTTCTTGGGAGGGTATTTTGGGCATTTCATAATGAGTTTTTTTTTTATTTTTCTTGAGAGTCACATAGAAAACTCGATTTTGAGGGGGGTTTCTTCTTTAAGTTTTTCTAGAAAATGTCAGCTTGGCCCTCAAATTTCCATTTTTTCTAGAAAAACCCCTGCTGCCAGGTTTTTGGGTCGCACCCTTACTGCCTCTTCACATCTAAACGGTTAGATGGGATCTCGTAACCGGTTAGATGAGTGTGGGCAGCGTTTTTCTCACTGTTTTTGGCTCCTAACCGGTTAGATGATCTTTAGGTGGCAGTTTTTGACCGTTTTGCCCCTTCTTCTTCCGTTAGCCATAACTCCTTCATCCGGACTCCGAATCAAGTGATTCTTGAGTCTAAATTCATTAATTTTTCATTTTCTTTCTAATGGTGTGCTCGGTGGCACCCATTTTTAAGCTAAAAATAACAATTTTGTCCCTACGTTCATTTTTGAGGGTCATAATGGTGTCTTAGAGCCATGTTGTATCTCTAGAGACCGTTGTTTTGTCTTTTACTTCCGCATTTTAGATCCATTATCGGGTCATCTTTCAGTTCATCAATGACGCATCGGGTTGAAAAACTTAGGTCGTCTCACTGATAAAACAGCAGATGTCCTTACTCATCACATCCATTCACAGCCTAACAGTACACAGGATCACAACTTGGATCATGAACTATCTATTTCATTCTCATTCCAACCCAACCAGATTAAGTCAACACACACCCCTCCATAGTTAGGCATGGAATAGAGCACAAAGAAACCTTAAGACCAGAATCAAACATCACACACACCAGTTACTTGTTCGATTGCTTCCGCGAGTTCACCGGTCAATAACCGAAATGCCTCTAATAGAAATTGGTCTGTTATTGCTCTGGCTCCACAAAAAGACTGGTGATTCGAATTTCATGAACCAAAGAACAGGGAGTTGGGCAAAATTGTTGAGCCGCCTGAAGAGGTTAGTGAGGAAGGTGCATCTCTGTGGCAATCTTGCTTGGTAAATTCTTTCTAGAAGAAGATGCCATTCAAGCATGTCTCAGAATCGGTTCACAAGCTTTAGTCTTGTAGGGGTATTGTATGTCGTTGGGAGCTCTAGAGGAACCTTTTACTTCAAATTTGACTCAGTGGAAAGCTGCAGAAGCATTCTCGCAGGCGGGCAATGGTTCCTTGCTGGTAAAACTATGTTCTTGAAGACCTGGACAGCTAATCCCCAAGTTCCACATATACAACCTTCCTCTTTATCCATTTGGGTACAATTATATAATGTTCTTTTTTAATTCTGGGCTTCAAATGGGCTGAGTTACATTACCAGTGCCATTGGTAAACCTCTCTCTACAGATGCTAATACCACAAGTATAAATCGAATTGACTATGCAAAGGTCTGCGTTGAAATCTCCCCACAATCCACTCTGGATAACTCCTTTCATGTTAGAAAAAATAAAGGCTCCTTAACTGAAATTAAGGTAAAATACCCATGGAAACCTCTCTCTTGCTCTTACTGTAATGCTTTTGGTCATTCTATTGATGGTTGTAGGCCAAATCATTCTCACACACATAACCAGAGGGCTAATTGTTCAAGCAGCCCACAGAAATGGGAGATGGTATCGAGTAAGAAAGCTAACTTAACTCATGCCGTTAATATTTCTCCCCCCATTCTAAGTACCCTTTATAGCAATCCTGCCCTTACCACTCATATTACTGATAGCATACCTACCCTTACCACTGATAGCACTCACCCTCTTCCCACAAGTGAGACAACATGCTTTGGGAAAGGAAAGGAGATTTGCTTATGTGTTGACCTTTACTCCCTGCCTAATATCCCAGGGAAGACTCAAACATCCCAACCACTATCAACTGAGAACACCTTTGAAGCTTTAACTGATAAGAATTTAGGAGAAAATGGAATTGACTATGAGGAGGATGCTTTAAGCTAGTCCTCTACTTGTGAGAGTGACAGTAATGACCCTGCTTTTTCCCCCATAGAAAGGAGGTTAATCAAGCCAAGAAAACCTAAGTTTGCTAAGAACAGGAAGAAGAATAGAAAAGGGAAAGTTATTACCCCGAAAGGTTTAAGGGTATGTGCAGCCTCTCAAACTCTTCTCAATGAATTGGGCCACTTGGAGTATAAGAGGGTTGAACTCTCTCCTCAAACTAGTAGAGGTCAAGAATCTCATTAGAGAATCTAAATTGAGTCACAGCCTTGAGAATGCTGTAACAGTTCATAGCTTCATAACCCCCAATTGGAATTTTGCTTGTAATTACTCAAATTCTATCTTGGGTAGAGTATGGTTGCTCTGGAATCCAGCAAAGATTTATGTTTCACTTGCTAGTATGACAAGTCAGGTTATCAACTGCTTAATCTTCCTCATTTATTTAAAGGTGGCATGTTTGGCATCCTTTTTCTATGCAGCAAACATAGTAATGGAGAAGAAAAGTTTGTGGAGGAGTATTAACAGTCACAGACAGCTTAATGTACCTTGGATTTTATTAGGGGATTTCAATGTTCTACTGCATGTTAATGAATCTTTTAGGGGTGCCTTGAGATGGACTACTGGTATGGAGGAATTTAAGGCTTGTTTAAACAAGAATGAACTTGAAGACCAGAGATTTAATGGCATTTTCCACTCCTGGTCTAACAAAAGTTTTGGATGTGCAAATATATCAAGGAAACTTGATAGAATACTAGTAAATCATGCATGGATTTCTAAATTTCCACATTCAGAATGTTGCTTCAAACTTTGGGGTGTCTCTGATCATGCTCCAATGGTAGTTTATCTTGGTGAGATCGACTCAAAAAAGAATTTGCCTTCTAGATTCTTCAACTTTTGGGCATTGCACACGGACTTTTTGTCAATTGTTGCTCAGGGATGGCAACTTGAAGTTAATGGTACAAGAATGTTCAGAGTAGTGCAAAAGTTAAGAGCACTCAAGAGACCCCTAAACCAACTGAATAAAAAGGACTTCTGTGATATTTTAGCAAAAGTGAAGGCATGTAAAAATGACTTATTCTTATGTCAATCTACCCTTGACCAGAACCCCATTGACGACCACTTGAGAACCAGAGAGAAGCTGTTAGCTAAGAAGTTTTCTGAAATGTGCTTAGCTAAGGAACTGTTCTTCAAGCAAAAGGCACAAATTCATTGGCTTAAAGAAGGGGACCAGAACACTGCATTCTTCATGAGAAATTTCAGTTCCAAGTGCAACAGAAGGAATGTGGAATCTATTACCAACAGTGTGGGTGCTCAGCTTCATGTGAAGACCTGCAGAGGGAATTCATTAACCACTTTCAGAGTACAATTGATCAATCCTATCAGCACTATATAGGTATGAATTCTTTTTCACACTTCATCACAAAAACTATCCCAAACCACCTTATCCCTTCCCAATAGCAATCCCAACAGACTTAGAAATAAAATAAAGCTCATTCCATCCTTTCAAAAGTCCAGGACCTGATGGCTTCAATTCCAGTTTTTTCATCCACTCATAGCCATCGTTGGTCATGAAATCACTGCAACCATTAAAGAATTCTTTATTTCTAGTATGATACTCAGATAAATAAATTGCTTATATATTACCCTAGTACCCAAAACCCCCAACCTATCAACTTTGCATTCTTTTAGGCCAATTTCCTGTTGCAACTTAATTTATAAGTGCATCTCTAAGCTGATTGCAGCAAAGATTAGCTCTACCTTACCTTACCTTATTAGTCCCTCTCAAAATGCCTCTGTGAAAGGAAGACACATTTCCGAAAATGTGATTCTAGCACATGAACTTGTTAATGGATATCATAGAGCTTCATATCTTCCAAATTATGCAATGAAGGTTGACTTTAAAAAATCCTTTAACAACATTCACTGGCAGTTTATCATTGATACCTTGAAATTGATGAGGTTTCCTTATTGTTTGATACATTGGATATCACAATGTGTTACAACTCCATCCTATTCCATTTCTCTCAATGGGGCACTCTTTGGTTTCTTTAAAGGACAAAGAGGAATAAGGCAAATAGACCCTATATCCCCATCGTTGTTTGTCTTGGCTGTGGAAGTTCTTACTTTATCAATCAATAACTCAATTAACAGTAACCCCAGTTTTGAATATCATTGGAGATGCAGCAGAATGGCCCTTTCTCATTTAACATTTGTTGATGATATATTCTTGTTCTCTCATGGAAACCTTGCTTCTGTCCAAACCATTTTCTAAGCCCCAAATCAATTTCTTGCTTTGTCTAGTCTTAGTATTAACCCTTCTAAAAGCTTAGTATTTTTCTCTGGGGTTAACAGCCAAGTTAGAGCTGAAATTCATTCATTCCTACAATTTGGGTCTGGTACACTACGTGTGAACTACTTGGAACTACCACTATCATCCAAAGCTATTAGCTCAACTGACTGTACTTCACTGGTGGAAAGAATCACTGCAAAGGTAAAGAGGTGGACCTCCAGATTTCTCTTATTTACAGGGAGAGTTGTCCTTATAAAATCAATCATATGCTCTATACAATCTTACTGCTTCATTTTACCTAAGAAGGTTATTGAAGAGGTTAACAAAATTTTGAAGAGGTTCTTGTGGTTTGGTCCTAAACTGAAGAAATCATGTGTTAAGATGGCTTGGGAAGTGGTCTGTAGACCTAAGATTAATAGTGGTTTGGGTTTCCCTAACATTGAAATGACAAACATAATTGCAAACTTAAGGCATATCTGGAAAAATTTTGCTAGAAAAAAAGAAAGTCTATGGGTTACTTAGACATATAAATACTTGATCAAGAATAGGAGCTTCTGGACTGTTAAATCTTCAGCTCTAAGTTCAGGTTTTTGGAAAAGGCTGTTGAAGTTAAGGGATATGGCAAGGGGACTTATAAAGCATAGAGTGGGGAAGGATACTGACACAATGATGTGGCTTGATTACTGGCTACCAAATGGGTCACTTGTGTTTCATTTGAACCTTAATAATGGGAAAATTCTTCAACTGAACCAAAGAGTCAAAGTTGATAGGCTAATTTCCTTTGATCATTGGGTTGTTCCAGCTGCATTTTTACATATTCCATTCCTCCATTCTCCAAACTTTCACTCTCAGTTACAACAAATACCAGCCCCTTCAAATGAGCTTGACACAGTAAGTTGGTCACCATCACCAAATTCCAACTTCTCCCTTACACACACAGTTAAGTACTTTATCCCTCCCATTTACATCTTCCCTTGGCATCACATTATTTGGTTCAAGAACCATATTCCAAAGCACTGTTTTATTACCTGGCTTGCCATTAAGGGTAGATTAAGTACACTTGATAGGAAGGCAATGAAATACAAGCACCACCCCAATACTTGTTACTCATGTCTAGCAAACAATGAGTCTCTGGACCACCTGTTTTTTCAATGCAAATACTTAAAGAAGATTTGGTCCTTTGTTTAGCATACAACAGGATTTTACATCCAACCATCCAGTTCGGAAGAGTTAATTACATGGTGTACAACAAACTGGAAGCCCAATGGACTTCTTGTAAACAAATTACTACTCTTTGCAGTAGTTTATTTCATATGGATGAAGAGAAACAACGGAGCTTTCAGAAATCTCACATCAACCACTTCTGTCACCATTAACCAGATTAAGAGATATATCAGAGGAAGACTTGTTTCAATCACACTTAAAAGGACTTCAGACTTGAGGGGGATTGGTAAAGTTGAAGAATTGCAGAAACTATTCATGAGGGTTGCAACTTTGCCAATGCTCAGAACCTTGCTTTTGATTAATTTATAGAGATGTCAAAGGATTGTCCATGGTCTAATCTTTACTTAGAGTAACAAATTGCTTCCATGGTCCAATCTGTTATAAGGTTGTAGCTGGGTGCAATTCCTTGTGCTTGTTTGGATTACTCGCTCTCTGGAATTAGTTGTCTAGCTTGATATATTGCTTTTAGTTAATTTATAGTTAGCACAGGTGTGTGCTTTGTGATTGCTTCCTGCTTTGGCAGCTTGTTTGTCCCTATGGGACCTCCATGTATATTCTTTCTTCTTCTTAATACAAATTTACCCTTTAACTAAAAAAAAAGATTCTATCATGTGTCATTTTTGTTACATGATAGTTCTGTGCATAATATGACAACTTTATATAGTGAATGTAATAATTTTAAATAGGGAGTGCAATAATTTTAAATTAATTCTAAATAATGAGTACAATAATTTTAAATCTGCATTATAACAACTACGCAAATGATTATTTTATGCATGCTGGAATTGACGGAATTGATTTTAGAATTTTTTGTAGTCAAAACGACTTTTGTATTCGGGAATTTCTCCTGAGCTTTCCCATTATTGTTTAATGTGGTATTTGGCATGAACTTTTAGTGACGCAAGTTTGGGACATACAATGTAGTGATTGTGTGTATTCGAGTTAGTTTTAAGATTGTGTGGTATACGACGGATGTCGGATCCACCTCTTTTGTGGAATCCAGTCGTTTTTGAGTTGACGTGTCATATAAGGAGTACCTAGATGGGGTAATAAGTATTAGGTTGCTAGTAACTTTAGGGGGAGATTATTTCGTTAACCTTCAGATATGTCGTGTGCTGAGGGTGTTGATGTGGCATCCTTATGCGATATTGCCATAAAGAGTATAGATTTTGAGTTTGAAATCTTTTTAAAAAGAGTAAATTGTAATATCTCGATTTTTTTAAAAAAATTTTTTTGATATTTTTTATACCTCGTTTTGCGTGCCAAGTGGGTCCCGGGGTTTGGGACATTTTCTTGAGCACAGGAGTTTTAGAAATGCATTTTGGTTATTTTATGTATGTTGGGATTGACGGGATCAATTTTGGAATTTTTTGCAAACGGCATGATTTTTGTGCTTGGGAATTTCTCCCGCTCTTTCCCACTTTTGTTTAATGTGGTATTTGGCATGAACTATACATACACACGCACACACATATATATATTGGGGACACATAGGTACATGGTGTGTCAATGAGAGGGCATTTGTGTAACTTTGACCAAAGTTAGAATTAATAGCATTGTAACACTTTGCACAAGGAGGATCAGACACCCATTTAGAAGACTTTGCTAACCCCCATCTCCTCCTCATTTCAGTTTAAGCTTTCTCTTTAGTTCTCCCTCTCTCTATATATATATCTATATACATATACACATCTTCCATGTTTTAAAGTCATATTTGAGAGTTTTATAATGAGATTTGAGAGAACACCAAAAAGGGAGATATATTTTACTCGACAAGGGCTTTCATTTGACACCACACTTAAGGGCACTAGAAAGATTTCTAAATTTGGGGGTTAGCTAGGGCTTGTTTAGCTTGTTTCATTGAGGTAGGAATTTATAATGTCTCAAACTTTATCTTTCATTGAGTAATCTTCTTTTGTTTTTTCATTAAATCCATGATGAATGCAAGAATATGAATAAGTTGTTGGCTAAATGATAGTTTAAAGAAACCATGCTTATATATGGTACAAAATGTGCCTTATATTCTAAGTGTACGTGATGCATGATACTTCATAATTGTGAGAATGCTAAATTTGTGAATGTTTGCATGGTTGTGAAGAAAGAATTTCATTGATGAGCATCCTTGTGTTTAATTTCTAGAAAATGCCATAGTTATGCCATTATTGTTATGTAAAAGAAATTGAAGATAAGTTCATGCAAATGATTCATATGCATAACATGATGGGTAGGTTGAATGGGCATGACAAGTGAGTCAAAGTAGGAAGGTTATGAAACTGATTTTATAAAAGAACTGGATTTCGTGAGTCCGGTGCTAACTTGACCTAGAGGGAGCGTGTGTTGGTTATAAGACGTGTAATATTGATTACTAGGCCCCAAATGGTTGTCAGATTTGCGGCTAGAAATAGCTAATCAATTTCGCTTCGGTAAAGGCAGTCAGCGGGTTTTTGATGTGAGTTGGGTCGATTTGGGACCAAGGTTGGAACGGTTAAAAATTTCATTGCATTTCCATACATACTCATGATGAATTGTGTGTATGACATTGCGGAATTAAAACGTGATTTGTATCCCACAAAATCCCCCTTGTATGATCCTAGTTTTTTTAAAGCTTTCTATGCATTACATGACTCAAGGAAATCTAAAGTTGTTGCCTTAGGCATCTCCTACTGAGCCGTTATGCTCATCACTTCCTCTAATATTTTCAGGACATGGCAAGGACGTTGTGGACGACGCACCTTTTTAAATGTAGAAGAAGAACCAAGTATGAAAGTGACTAGTTGACTTTTTTACCCTTTTTCTCTCTGAATAGGGCGATTCTCAACTAGGATTTTCTAGGGTTTCGAGGTATAAGATAACTCCATAGAGGAGGGGCAGCTCTCCTC